GCTTGATCTCAGAAACTACCTCTTAAGTAAGTGCTTTTCTACATCATGCATATACTTTTTGCTTGGTTCTTCTTACATTGTGTACCTGCCTGATTTTCATAGTTTGTCTTTTTGGTACTGATTTTAAGAAAATATTTAGAAAATAACACAGAATTTTAGAAAATATTTAGAAAATAACACAGCATATTATTCTGTGTGTTGAATATGAAGCAGAATAAATTCAGGTTCTAAGCTAGGTAGCTAATGTCACTGCCACTTGATCCAACTCGCAACACCTTTCAAAAATCAATGAGAATAAAGGAAACAAACCTCAACTTCTCCTCCCCCATAGAAAACCTGCAGGCACTATGAAGTTTGTGGTTGCCACAAGTAGCTTTGGTGAGACTGAGCTGCCAGCTAGCACTTACAAACAGCGCTTGACCCTTCAGTGACATCAAAGAGAGAACTCTTCCAATATGTGGTATTTCCTCTGCAGTAAGATTAGATCCTGCCTTTGCAGCAAAAGAAACTCAGACGAACTTATTTTTCTCCTTTAACTTACAGTTTTACCTGGCAAGAAGAAATATAATTAAGACTATGCAACTCAATTTTGTGTTCAGCTTCAAGCAGCTGGTTATTTCCCTTGTGGAACACTGCTCAGATTAGTGATCGAGCCAGGGCACTTTTCTTCAGTGTCAAATGTGTGTCTCCCCTGATTGCACTTCAGTCAGTTAAGCCTAATTCCTACTGATCTGGAAATGGTTATCAAGTCCTGTATGTGCAGCTCCATCTGAAGGAAGCAAAGAGAAGTTACTCATCAACACTTAGGCTTTTTGGTGAGAGAGATGATGTCCATATTTCATTCTCATACCACAGGTAACATTCATTATGCTTTTTGGGGGGTGGGGTATGATTTTGAGAGTGGTAAAGCTTTTAAACTGGATATTAATAATGTTCATAACAGAGTGAAGTGGATGGCTCTTCTATAAATTATTGCACTGTATTAAAAAAAAATTAAAGCCAGATATGCTTTAAAAATAAACCATCTGCCTTAAACCAGAGTTCTTTTGATCCTTGCCTGTGAACAACCAGGCACCAATATGAGACAGGAAACTCTGGGAAAGGAAGGAGAGGTGTGAAATGTCTGGGAGTCATTAAGAGTGCAGCAGAAATGTAGTTACCAGTTGCCAGGAATAGTAAATCCTGCTTACACAAGACTCCTTTTTTTTTTTTTTTTTTTCCCCTGATTCAGCTGGGTCTCAAGGATTTCAGCTCTGTGAATCTGTGTTCCCCAGTCCTGCAGCAGCAGCAAAATGGGATGCTCCCAGGGTACCATCTTCCACTGCTGCCTCTTATGCTTCAGCCTAATTGCTGGACAGCACTATCCAGTGCAGGAAGATGCCACTTCTATTCCTTTTTGTCCCTGCAGGACATCCACAACACTGCTCCATCCCAGGTAACCTGACCCCAAACATGGCATCCAGGACTTCCACCCTGGAGCATCAAGAAATTAAACTTATCACCTTGCCACAAAGTCATACTTGGACTTAGGGGCAAATAACAGAAAAAGAACCACAAAACACCCAAAAAATACCTTATTAGAGTGTCAGAGAGGGTGTGGGTTTTTTGTCACAAAGGCCCCTATAAGCATGATTAAAAAGAATTTCACCGGGTTAGTTACTGGCCTGGAGAAAATGTATCAGGGTTTGAATACGTCAGCGGGAAGCTGCAGTGTGTGCCACATGTAATGGCACCAGCCAGGGAGCAGTGCTCCAGCTACCTCACCCTCTGCTGCTGCTGTGCTGCTGCCCTGCATTCTCAGATCAGGGCACACAGGGGATGTACTGCACTGGCTGTGTCAGCATGGGAACACAAACTGGGCAGCTCTGTGCTGGGGAAGGTGGTTTGTCACTGACTGGGACAAAGTGGCAGGACACAATTGCTGGAGATGTGTGCAAGGCTGTAGCTGGGAAAGCGTGTGTGACTGGCAGCAGCTGTACTGTAGGCTGTCCCTTGTGGAACAACAAGGAATCCTTTGCTGTCTAGGTGTGTTTTCTGCTCAGGACTTATTTCCATGTGCTGTGAGGCAGCTCTTTTGGATGTATTACATTTGTAATTGGAATGACAGAAGCTCCATAGTGATTCGTCACTTGGATATAAACAGGAAGGTGGGGTTCAGTTTCAGACTGCAGGAGGACACGTTTGTTAAAGTAGTGGAATACATTGTATTACAGTGCCTTTGCTAGCTCACTGAATGAGAGCCACAGCAAGGATCAGGATTTGATCAGTAAAATGCAAGACCAGCAATCAGGAAAGTTTACAGGGTGTGAAAGTTAATTTACACCTGCTCTTGAAGACAAGCAGCATTTCATCTTAATCTAATACCCAATATCTCAAATGAAAGCTTTCCTTCATCACTGTTAGAAGTTTAGACTAGATTTTATTTGGAATCAGGGGATTGTTAAAAATATGAAGGACTCCAACTACGTAAGAAGTAGTGTAGCACTTCCCTCTTCCCTCTTCCAGTGTTGCTAATTTTAACTACTCAGACAGAAATATTCTGTATCAAAACACTGCCTGAATCTGTACTGACTTGTATTTCTCCCAAAACTCTGCAAATGATTTTGAAAAACAAAATAGAAAAGGAGCTACATTTAGAGGGAATTAGGGCAAAAACATCTGCATCAGCCAGAAAGAAATAAACTGAAATTTCACACAAAATTGATTCAAAGAGATTACGAGGAAGATGGTGGGAATAACCATTTAGTGAACTCCATGTGACATTTGCAGTGGTGCTATTGAGTTACATCTGGCAGAGGGAAAAAAAACTTTGCTTTGGGACAGCCATTTCCAGAACCAAGGTAAGAATAAGACAAAGCAGTACCCAAAAAAAAAAAAAAAAAAAAAAACCAAAAAAAAAAAAAAAACAAAAAACGTTTGATTGATTTATTGAGAATTTGAGACTTGGACAAAAGGCCCACGTATGAACAGTGCTACAATACTACTGCCCTTGCCAGGCAATGAGCTTGTGAGACTTTAACTCCAGGTGTTTAAAACCCAGCAGTCTCCTCAGGAACTGCAAAGCACAGCTTTATTCAAAAGGCTCAGCACTGCTGTCAGCAGAACCTGAGACTAACTCAGCCTGAGCAGGTTTGTGAGTGCTGACAGGCTTCTCAGACTACCTCAGCTGGTCTTGCACAGCAACCCCAGGAAAGTCTTCTGCATTTTAACAGTAAGATTTTTAAAAATAAGGCCTCTGCAACAATAGTTGCATGTACTTGCCCACTGCAGGAGGTTTGGAACTAGATGATTTGTAAGGTAATTTCTAACCCAGGCCATCCTATGATTCTGTTGTATGGAAACACACAGCTGCACCTGGAAGAACTCGTTCCATGCTTGACAATTCTTTAACTACCGGTTCAGCACAGAAATGCAGCTGGATCTGCTGAGCTCATTACTTTTATAACTTATTGATCACATGTATCTCAAATTACAAGACAAACTGAAATCCAGAAAATTCCAAGTAAGCATGAGAATTTTTCTTCCTGTGAGTGTGATACAGGCTCACAAAAGCAGCATACATTGGGTATGTATTCACCAACCTCAACTCTACTGGGATTCTGTGATTCCCTATTTCATATTTCATTGAAGATTTATGGGATAATTTAAAAATAAGACTTTAGCTGGCATTTGAAGTAAATAATTCTATTGCCTCAAAGAGCACCTGCAAAAATGACATCTTTAAATTCTTATCCTTATTTGATGTTTTAAAATGGATACACCTCAGCTCTGGCATGAGTCATCCTCTGTCTACTTTTGCAGCATTAACTGTAGACAAAGATACCTGGGGGACACACGAAGTGCACCTACATCATATGGCCCTCAGTGGTCTTCTCCACGTAATCCTGATTTAACAACTGGCTTCAATGGGGCTTGACAACAGATACAGACCTTGAAATCTCTCCACCAGCTCATGGCTGAACACACAAGCACAGAAGTGCTTTTTAAAATAAAGCTCTAAGTTCTCCCTTTGAATTTGAAATACAAAGTCTTCCACGGTATTTTTAGGTGAAAATGTGTGAAGAGCAAGTGAATGAAAACCAAATGTACACAATTTTAAAAATCTTGCCTTATGAACAGAGTATAAATCTTACCATGCTAAAACTGTGTACTTAACATTACACCCTCATATGCCAACTTAGTGGTACCCAAAGCAAGCTCTCTAGGGATCAGTTTATAGCCATGGTAAAATCCAGTAAAGATGGAAGTGTTTATTATGAGCTGCTTAGATTTATTTGAAGAAGCACAAGAAAGCATGTAGAGCAAACCTGGCAAATACTAAAAAAATCCCAAATGCTACAGCAAATGAGAGCCACTGTTTCCTGTCAGTACAAAGGCAACGGCATGTGTTCCTATGGGGACTACACCAGCACAAGTAGTTAATGCGGATGCCAGAGCAGCTCATCTCAGGTGACACTCAGCTTTCACTAATGGGTTTTGGTGGGGTTATTTCTGTTTGATTTGTTTTTTTGGTTTTTGTTTGTTTGTTTATTTGTTTTGTCTCCCAAAGGCACTGAGAAGTTTTGCTGGTCCACAAAAGAACTGGTCAATTTTCCTGCCAGTCCTACTCTCAATCTGAAAACACTGTGAGCATCTCATGCCTAGCGAACCATGTAGAGTGTAAAGGCTAATTCAAACATTGACTTCTCTGCAATAAGTAGCATTTTGCTTAAAAATGTTTGAATGAGACTGTATTTTTTTTTTTTTTAATTTACAGGCAGGCACTATTTTGCCTGTATTTTTTAAGCTGAAGGCTGAGGTGACTTGTCATATACCCGATATCCAGTTTGTGTTTCTGTAATTCAATCAACATAATTTATTGGGCTGTTCCCATTTGCTTTCATATACTGACAAAAAGAAATTCACCAGCAGCACTTGACCAAGATTATGAGAATTGTGAGTTATAAACTATTGAATGCTTTCTCAACTTGCCGCTAAAATAAAAAGATCTAAACAAAACATTCAGATACAATGTAATATGTTTATTTTTTTAAATCCAATTTGTAAAGGTCCCTTTTTAAAACAAGAACAAAAAAATCAACACAATTCAGAGGGCTTATCTCTTTTACCATATTCTTCCCCACTCTTCACTTATAACACAAGCAGCAACTTATAGTATTAGTGCTCATATAGTGCACTTATATGAATTTTGATCTGTGTATTAAGCATTAAATACAATGTATTTTCTGTGAGCATAGCCCAAAGAGTACACAATGTTACATTTTTAAAGCATATGTTAAAAAAAAAAGACAATAAATGTATATCCAAGACAGTCAAACTCAAATATTTTGACTTGGCAAATTCTATAACGAGTAACAGCAATTTTAAACTGCGTACAAAGCACAACAGTGCCAACATGCCTCCAGTCTGTGAGCTATGGTAAAACATCAAGCACACATACAAAGGAGAGAAGCCAAAGAAACCCAACCACAGAGCTAACCTGAGGCACACCCAACTGCGACCGAACAAAGGCAGCCCACGTTCCCACTCTGTAATGCAAAGAGCCCCACAACAACAAAAAGCAATTCTATGCTACAGAAAGTGAAACAGCAACTTCTTCCAAATTTGTCTCTGCATTTTTAAACAACTTGTTCAAAAAATGTAAAGATAAACATCTAATTATACCAAACAAATGTACAAACTATAAAGTCAGAGAAGCTCCAGAAGATTGCCACTTTCAACCTTGCATAGTGAGAGCTGGCATTGATATTGCTACCATAGCTTCAGCAGAAGATACAGAAAAGAAAAAAATTTATCTCTAAGTGATGCATATATGTAGCATTTTCTTCACAAAATTCAGTTAAACATTGTTTTAATAAAAGGGAAAACAGCTCTAAAAAGGGAAAGATAGTGTTCACAAGCTTAGAAAAAAAATACAAAACCAGAACATTCCATAATAAAAAAATAAAAACAATAAACATTCCATCATGACAGCACCTATTTTATCACTAAATAAGCCCCATACATGCAACAAACTACAACTATTGTATAAGGCCATCAAATTAAAGGTTTACTTTTCATATAAACAAAGTGTAAAAATAGCAACAAGTTGCGATCTTCAAATTTAATGCTATGTGAGGATTCTGTCTCCCCCGTTTCATTTGGTAGCAATTTCAATATGCGTTTGATATAAACGTCATTAATCTAGGAACCGTGGTACAAATACATTGTGCCTAGGACAGTATTGTCATATCTCTGTTCGACCTTGACAGAATTGGAATGCTCAACGACACTACTGAGTTCAGGGATGCTTTCAGCAGTATCCCCAAAACCATGATAGTGTCCATAGTGCAAAGTGTCTCCAGGGTCTTCCACCCACGAGGGCCGGTTGGAAACACAGCTGCTCGGGCTTCCATTCAGGTGCAGAGATCCACACATATCGGTGGAATTACTCATGGCTTTTTCTGGTTCCTCGGTGCCGTTACTGGTATGGATCCGATGCCTACTGGGAGAAGTCACTCCAGGAATGACTCCGTTAGGTGTTAATGCTAAGCACTCCTCACGCCTGGCATCCATCCCACTGAGCTGCTGTGCGGCGGTGAAATCCAAATGTCCATTGATGGCACATCCATTTGTCAGTGCATTCAATATGGAGCTACTGCTATTCATATCTGCATTAAGAAATACACCTGTCACCAACAATTAAGAATAAATTGAAATACATCAAAACGTCTCCACTATACTTAATTTAAAAATGTTTCCATACACAGCCTTGAAAATAAATCTATCCTTTCTTTATAACAATGTAGGTAGTTCCAAGTAATGAGAGCTGACCAGTAAATTTGCGGCATAGATTCTTATGTTGAAAATGCAACTATCTATCCACATTTGTTTTGAAAATATGTCTATATTAATCTTTGCAGAGACAATGTCACCTTCTCAGATTTTTTTTTTTTTTTTTCATTTAACTGTAAGAATTAAGTGGAGCTGACAACATTCTGGGCAGTGTTTTCAAGGGCGGAATAAAAGTGATATTTCCATCTTAACTGTAATGCCCTCTTGGGATGGAAGATTACGTACATATAAGAACTGCGTATCTGTGAGAGGGTGAAGGGTGGGGTTTTTTCCCATTTTTTAGCTGTAATTTAACTGTGGCTCTTTTTTTCTTTTTAGTTGTAACTCATCACAGTACAGTTTGCACTGAAGTAAGTCAAATAAAGAAATGTTACATTGGATTGCTAAAATAAAATGTTTCCAAGTTCCTTTATTCAGAAAGTACTTCAATGTACCTAACAGCTTGCTAGGTAACATACTGGGCAGGTCTGTATTTAATGCTACACTTGTAACAGCATGCGTACAATCCACATGCAAAATGCCATACAATAGAAACAGCAGAGTGCACAGAAGACTAAGAAATAGTAGTAGGAACAAAAAGTCTAAAAATGTGCATGCAAAAATCACTGACAACTGTTTTGAAGCAATTTCCCATTTGAAGTTAAGTAATTAGTACAATAGGTTTTGTTCCCATGAACAGATTTCATCAGTCTGTCTGAAATGCATGTTTTTGCAGTGGTACTCAGAAGTACTAACACAAAAAATGCATTATATATTCTGCCTTGAAAATATAATTTATTTCTATATTGGTAAAGATGAGCAAGGCAAACATAGCAACTACAGAGCTATGTGGTGACATTTTCAGATTTTATATTCTGTGATTATCCTTGGATACATGCACATATGTTTATGTCTCCATGAACGCATAAACCCATGTGCAAAACAGGATTGCATTTACTGCGTATGTGCAAATTAATTCTCTTAATTTAGTCTGTTGGCAACTTCCCACATTTGTAAAACACTGGGTTCCCATTTAAGTGACACATAATGAGTACCACTGTCTGACAAGGAAGAATCTGGAGTTTTGGCTCTCTCTAAGTTTTTTGCCTGGCTATTATTTGAAGTACGAATTACAACACTGATACTTCACAGACCCCAGTATGTTACACAAGAAATGTGTACAATTTGTAACTCCCTGGATGTACTAACTGGAGTTCCCCATTCAGTCCCTACATCAGTAAAAATAACCACATCAGCCAATCTTCCTAACCATGAATTCTCATTAAAAGTGGAAAAAAACCCCACAAATCCATCACGACATCGAAGTTAATACTTCAGTGATAAAAACATCGAAGTTAATACTTTAGTGATAAAAACGCACAGAAGGAGTTCCATATAGTGTTTATTAACTGAAAAGTGCAAAATTTTAACTGTTTAAAGATAAACCATTATAGGCTGGTTTTGCCAAATCAAATTTAATAAATCTGGCACTTCTATTAGTTAATATGCAAAAGTAGGTAAAGAATAGTTCTTGTGATACTTACAGAATGTTATTATTGGTTAAAAATGAGCACCTATAGTAATACAGTAATAGCATATATTTATGAAAGAAAATATTTTTCCATAAATAAGAACACTTAGCAATTATCACTGGAAAATACCATAGTCTACTTTTAAAGTATTGATTATATATATGTATATCTATTTATTCCTAATATATTAAAATATCTATTATTATCATTCCCTTTGTTGAATTTGATCTGTGGCACAAAGCATAAACATATTGCTGGCAGAAAAAAATTGATAAATAAGAAATTAATTTCTGAATGTAATAATGCACTACTGTAGTAACTCCATGTCTTAACCTACAAAGTACAAAAAAGGCTGACCCAAGACAATTTTAATCAAACTCTATACACATCCTGTCACCAAAAGCATTTTGACTGAGCAGCCCTTGAAAAATCTTGAGCATTAATATTGACCAATCCGAGTAACATTTTGACTGTTTCATGGTGACTGGTACAAAACACAAAATCTGTTTTGCCAGGTACACTAGTTCCAAACAGTAGATTAAAACTGTGCTGTCTGGTCTTCTATTTACATAAAAAAACCCCACAGCAGTATCCTGCACTATTGTCATTGTGTCTGCACAAGTTCTGAACACAGGGTGTATGTCTCAACTATTCTCTATAGTATTTATTGTAGTATTTGAATAGAGTCAAAGCTAGAATATGCTTCCCTATCAAGTCTTCTTACTATCTACTCAATCAAAATTAAACAAATAATTTATTTCCGAATTTCCTTTAACTCAAAATTATAGCAACTAGAAGCAAGGCACAACATAATACAAGCCTCGGGTTAAAAGTGAAACAGCCATCGTGGACTTGTTTACCTGAAATGTTAAGAAATTACTAATAAACCTTCTCTTTCACCATTACAATACATTGCATGAAACAGCTAATTTTTGATACCTACTAAACCCCCAATATAATGGGTGTTACAGCAATACAATAGTTTTCAAGACTCCAGACAACAATGTGCAAAAATAAAGGACTAAGTTTTATACTTAAATTAAAAATAAAACGCATATTGATTCTTGCAACGACAAGGAGTTTGCATTGCAGAAACAGTGTATATTTCAATTTCTTTTGGTCCAACAGAAGTACTCTCCTGTTGTTTGGTGTCTTCAACCATTTGAATGTTGTTGTAGTTAACAGGAAACTGTCCACTCCCACCTGATACAACAGCAAACTCTCTATCAACGTGCATATTGTCAGCATCGTCCTCAGCTCCTCCATTCAGCATTGGTATTAAGCCATCAAAGCTGTAAGCTGACAAAAAAAGTCATGTTTAGTCGTAAGTGCCCACTTAAAAACTCAGTCAGCAAAAAGATGAGTACTTTGATTATTAAAGCAAAACAGAAAATTCCCAGGGTACCTATCAGACTTTGCACCTACATATTAAAGTTACTAGTATGATGTACAAATAGGTTGAATGAAGAGAAATTTAAGTCACTCAGGCTTTAAAGACCATGTTGCAAAACCAGCACATTTCTCAACTCACATTTGTCAACTGTCAGTTTAGACTGCTCCCTTTTACACTCCCAAGGGCTAGGTCCCAAAAACCCACCCTTATCCACACCAGACTGCTCCAGGGATCTCAAGAGCTCAACAAGCAGAACTGTCTTCTGAAAGAAACTGCCAAGTGGTTAGACTTCTGGGGGGAATGCTTTAATAAGATGGGCTTGATTTCATTACTACTTCTTGCACCTACCCAGAGCACTGCTCCACAACTATCCCAGCAGACCCTGCCCTGCTCTCACGTTAATATTAACACACTTTTCTACGCACACTGCACACACTCTATTATGTTGTAAATGCTTGCTTGGCAGACTGCAATTCAGCTTGCATTACCCTGAACACAACTAAAGTTTTAAAGAACTTTTAAGTCCTGAGGTGTTCTAGGGTCAAAGAGATCATGGAGGGGTTACATGACATCAGGGCCCTTGGATCAGCAGGCTTCAAATTACCCTAAACCAGGAAGGGAAAGTTTTTTTGGGGTTTTTTTTTGTTTTTGTTGGGTTTTTTTTGTGGTTTTTTTTTGTTTGTTTGGTTGGTTTTTTTTTAGTAAATTAGAGGAATACGTAAGTGCAATTTAATGTTGGCCAATTCCAGGGTCCAGTTCCAGGAATGTCCTCCATCACACCTCACAAAGAACACCCAAAGCATCTGTGCTGAGGCTTGTGACAGACACTGGCATCGAGACACACATCAGACAGAGATGTGTGATCAAACAGAGCACAAGTCAACCTGCTGAGGGCAGTACTAGAGAGGTGAGGATTATGACTGACATGAACACAGCTGTATGACCAGTTCACCCAGTGTGCATCATCATCACTGAACCTCTGCAGCACGCTCTGCTGACCTTCCCAGGAAGCAGGATGAAATTTCTGGAATTGACTTCAGAAAGATGGACATAAAATTCAGTTTTTGTTTCTAAATCAAAATTAAAAACTATATGGCATATATTCTGAAAGTGGTCACCAATTTACTTTTTATTACACTTGTGAGTAATCAGTTTCTATCACAGTGTATAATGTATGAGCCTTGCCTAATTTTGAGGTTTAAGGTTTTTTTTTAATACTATGCACCTGTTAGCAGATACACTTGTGTGCATATCAACAATTACAAGCAATGCTCATCCACTGCTCAGTTTAGTTATTCCAGGGCAAAGCACACCTTAAGCATTTATCTTCTCTCAACTCTAATGCTTACAGCTTCTTGTAATGGACACAGGTTGTTGCAGCAAATAGTCTCAAAGCAGTGATTGTTCCAATCTGGGGTATGGATATCAAAACCTGACTTTTCCCTGCAAATACAGGTTGCCTTCGCTCTCTGAACATCTGGAATCTCCAGTGCAAATAGTCTTTAAAGGACAGCAGACTGGTGTGGTTTTAGTAAAGTTTTAAAAATAACACATAACTGGGCTTGTTCTGTAAAAAAGTCAGCTAAGCATAAAGATGTACTGATAACTCATTACTCAGCTCTATTATTGTATCTATGTTTAACAAAATACATCAGAAACAGTGACTCATTCTCAGTGCAAGAGACTTTTTACATTGATGCAATAGTTACTACTGATGCTGATGTCTTTGAGGTCAAACATGTCAGATTAGAAACTTTCACAGCTGGGATGCATCTTAATTACTCCAAAAACTTTCAAGCAAAAGCAGCAAAGCTTTCGCATTTGTTTGTGAAGGTCTTAAGTCATACTGTTAACAATTTCAAAAATAATCTACTCCGATTGCTTTTCCAACATTCCTGTAATTGTTCAGGAGCACTTGTTCACTTCAAGCACTGTTTATTTGCTCAATCTAACTTAGGTGCCGGACCAACTCTGTACAGTAAAAGGTAATGCAGATACAATGCCACTCCCCCAGACTGTGGGAAAACACTACTTACTGACTAGCTTGCAAAATATTCTAAAAGAGACAGCTGCTTAGGAACACTCAGATGGGGCAGCTCTTCAAAACTCAAGTTAAGTTAAGTTGACTTCACAAGCAGTGCCTCCTGGTAGACCAACAGACTGAAAACAACTTTCTGCAGTTGTTACAGACACTTGTGTACTGAGCAAGTTTTATTCTATGTAGATACTTATGAAATACTTATTTCTGAAGTCTTGTATTTAATTGCACAGGGAATCTTCTCCATTATGAAATTTATCATTTAGACCAGCTACATGAAACAACATATCCTGTTTATAATTGGCCATGGAGTACCCAGGTAAGGTCTCTGATCCTGATACAAGCAACTATTGAATGAACAATAGTGTTGATATTGATGTGATTTATGTTGTCTATGTCATATTTAGGAACATGGTTTAAGTCTCAATTCCCCCCTTTTAAGCCCGTTCTATTTGGCTCACTGAAAGTCACTTACATTAGAATGTCAACTTTAACTGAACAAAGTCCCTTCAATGAAGACCAGTGAAGTCCCTTTTCCTGATGCTAAAGAAAAGCATCCTTTACATCATCAGGAAAAAGGAGGTTTGAGTGCAGAATTACTCCCTTGTTTTTAGTAAGAATTTAGTAGGATGACCAATAGAAAAGAAGAAGGTAATTCTCCTCCATCATATTACTCAAGGTGATTCTAAAAACATCTAATATCTAAAAAGATTTCTACACAGAGCTACCAAAAAGTATTTTTAGGTTGTACTATTTCATCATTGCTGGCAAAGCAGTATCCTCAATATACAAGGCTGGATAGGAAACCTTAAGGTTCATTCTGTTCTTACATTCTTGTGTAAGATAGCTGCTCCCCTTGGAAAACAATCCTGGAAACATAGGGTATGTTAATTGATTTGGGAAACCCTTCTGCATTCAACTTCTTCCATCTATCTTATGTAGCAGTTTCTGAACTGTGAATTAATCCCTGAATGGAAAATTACCATCAGACCATCCAAGCATTTCTGTGAATCAATGGAATTACTTGGCCCTCCTGAAGCTGAAGAAACAGAGGAAGAAGTAGAAGCTAATTATTCACCTCTTACTCCTCTGAATAATTATTCTCAGCATCATGCAGTCTTAGCACTCTCTGGAAACAGAAATTTCTGAACATGCCAAGATGATGACAGGGAGAACTGGGATCTTGTGGCATGGAATAATTGTATTCATCTGCTTCTTGTATGAATATGTAATTTAGATATGTGAATTTGTCAATAATACTCAGCATCCACTCCAAAAGACTTTAAAATGTTTATTTTCCTTTCTCAGCAACAGTACCAACTCATCCCTTTTACCTCTGGGGTCTCACCTTCTGTTCTAGCCTTCTTTACTCCAGCAGACTCCATATCTTCAAAGGATCTTTTTCGACTTGTCCCACCACTGAATGGATTGGGACCTGCATTCTGATGAACCCCATTTAAGGTGCCATTGCTATAGAAACGATTCAGGTGACAGTTCTGGAGGTTCAAGAGAAACTGGGCACATTCTTGGAAGCCCTGGGTATGTGCAAGGTCTGCTGCTGTCAGGCCACTGGCATTTCTCAAGCTGTACAATACAAAGAAATTGGATTACACACATTCATCAGGCTAGCTGGCTGTTGCTGCTGCCCTTACTGACTATCTATCTGCTGGTGATGAGAGAAAACATACACTTAGCAAGTTTTCCATTTAGAAATCAGTTATCAATCTTAGTTTTATAACTATCTTAACTTTTTGCACATATATCTCACTTCTAAGCAAAATTTGGGAGACAATACACTTATAAATAAAATCAATATACTATGTGCCTTAAACCATCTTCCTATTTAAACTTCTCAAAATGCTTTATTCTAAAATAGTCTGAAGTGGCTGATCTTTACATAAACTTCAGACTAATTAAAGTGTTGAATTTTACCATCTTCTGCAGTTTATTCTGCAATCTATTGCTTTAACGAGCAAAAGATCAAATACTCAAAACAAACTTAACATGACTTGGCAATTGTCCATGGCATTCTGGTATCTAAGGTAACAACAACATCACTATTTTTCCTAACAACAAAATATATACATATATAGTAAAATATAAATAAAGATGCTATACTTAGTTATGCTTTGCTTATACTTTTGTTTCAGGTTTGTTTCTCATTTCAAAGTGTGTGACATCATAAGTAATGGGACTTGCTTTGGTAATTTCAACCAAAACTTTTCTGCGCACAAGAGAATGGCACTGGATTTTGCATATTCTAGTGCATCAAGGAGGTTAGGAATGAAACCAGGAGATGCAGAGATTTAATTTGAAAATGTATTGTACCACATGCATTTACACACACAGGGTATCTTGTGCTTAGCCGTTTAGTCTAACTTCATCAGGAAGAGCAAAAAAGTGAAGGCAAGAAGGCCAGGAATGACAAAACTAGATGGTGATGTAAAAGATGCCTATTAATCTTTCCTAGTACTTTTCCAGAAAAAATTAACTAGTAAAAGAAGTGGAATTTTTGTTTCTTGGCTTCAGACATTTAGACAAGTCAATTACTTAAAAATCCAGAAGTAGACCAGCTAACAGAACAAGAATTCAGAAGATTAATAGATCTGATTCTCCTGAAACTCCAACTCATGAGAAGAAATCGAAGAACAAAGCCCAGATTTGCCTCCTAGATCACTGGAACTTACTTGCTATAAATAAGAAACCCTTTAGAAACTATTACAGCAGGACTATTTCCATAAATGGCTAAGCCAAAATACTACAGAATCATAAAACCCATAACCTAAACCAGAATTAATTTTATTCCATACTGTACTAAACCATTATTTACTTGGACTACTAGTGAAAACTCACAGAACAGCAATCAAGAGTGCTCTAGAAAGTAAGACCTAAGAATACTGAAAAACCTAGTCAAAAGAAATGACACTCTGAAGTGGTATTAGTTTTGAATACCTAAGCTGCAAAGCACTGTGCATCCAGTGTAGGCAGTATATGAATGGGATTCATATGAATAAAGGAGCATTAAAGCTAGCATCAGAAGTTTTAGAGTATAAACCCTGCTGAATCTTGAGAGGGGTCTTTTCTCATTGTAAGAGCTGCCTATGGTATCAGAAATTCTACTGTCAATCCTTTCCCCTGCTGAACTAGATGACCTGTTGAAGCTGCTGCTAAGCAACAAATATTTGACACTCGTTTAGCAACTCTGATTTACTGGTGCAGCACAAGGATGTAGAACAATGAAATGACAGCTTAGGAAACAGAAACTTTAACAGATCTGTTCTGTTCAAGAAGAAAAGCTCAGTTCTTTCATATATTTTTAAATTTCCAAGCCCCAAAAGAACAGTAAAAGAAATTTAAGCAAGAGCAAAATAAACACAGTTTCACAAAGATAAAAATTACAAAACCAATATGGTATTGAATGGCCATCTAATTTAAGAGAAGTTCAAGGAGTCAGTAATTCCATTACTTAGCAAGTACTACTGAACACCAATTCTGCTTTCCAAAATTGACTGCAGGAGACTACAGTTAAGTCACTAATTTTCAAAGAATCGTCAGTGTAAGATGCTGGAGGCATTTGGAGATTCAACAACTAAGATCAAAGTGTGTAAAGCTACACACCCAAACTCTGGGAAAGAAAAACTAAATCTCCCAGAAAAAAAAATAAACAGGAATTAGAGGTTGCAAAACTTTAAAATGTAATGATCTTTGATATTTAAAGATCTGTCCCATTCCCACCTCTTCCTGAACTAATATTACTCTTAACAAAGTAGACAAAGAAGTACTTGTGTTACAGAAATATTCTGGAAGCACTGCATAGATTTCAAGGGACTCAAGCCTACTGGATTTAACATTATTGCTTCTGAAGTTTAGAAACACCTCTTTTAAAGGTGTGAATCTGAATTTAACCTATCAAGTTAGTAATGAAAAAAAAAAAAAAGTTCAATGAAATAAGAGGGTATTTTAAGTTCTAGATGACTTTGGAAACTGTTTCAATAAATGTTATGGAAGACAAGACAGATGTTCTCTCTCTTCAGTTACAGTGGGAACACTAACTTCAGTATTTTTTCTATATCCAGTTGTCCATGTCCATGATTTTAATCAAAGCCTGATTATCCTTGGACTTCCATATACTTTCAAATTTCTGTTACTCTACCTGCATTCCAATATTAACAGGACACAGTAAAGGAAAAGCTGACAAATTTTACAGAAACCTTCTATCACTTTCTCAAAAACAGGATAGAAAGATAAAATATCTGCTTCTTTAGCTGATTTCTCTAGCTTTCTCCAGTAGGAAAAAATCTGTCAGTGGGAACACAAAAGGCAGCAAGAGGTAGCTGTGCTATATTAGCCTATCATAACAACATGCAAGTAATAAAAAAAAATTGCTAATGTAAATAGGAACAAAACAGGAAAGAAAATACTCTTAACAGATACCGCAGACTGGAACAGTTCATGTATTTTCAAAGTATTTTAGAAATATTGTCAATTCTTTGAAGGATTCTGAGTCTGTAAGAGAAAAACAGTGTAACACAGTCCTTCCAGAAAGCCTGGAGTACTTGAATGAATTAAAAAACTAGACCATTCTTTAAAAGCATTAATCTGAACTTAAGAATGGAACCACCCTGTTACAGTAATTACAAGAAGCCAGAAACACATCTAATACTAAATCTGCTGCCCATGTCTGGCAGTGAAACGCCTGCCTCAGCTTATCCCAGGAGCTAAGAATTTAAGTGTCATTACTGTAGACAGACTAGATTATACGGATGAAAATAGAAATGGTTCACTGTCCCAACCACACATAAGAGGAGTTCAATCTCTGATGTGCAATCCCTGTCAGCCCTTGGTTATGAACTGCAATTCTATGTAAACTGACTATTAAAGGAAAAGGAGGAGGAATAGTATGTGATTAATTTTGCTACAAACTGCAGTAGCCACATGACATGGAATGCATGGCTAAAAAATGGAAGAAATATAAAAAAAAATCAGATAATTGCTATATCCAAGTAAATTTACAGCTATTTCAGTTATTAGATGCCCCTTGAAAGGTACTTCATTTATCATAGATGCTGACATAAAGAAAAAGGCTTGATAAAGGATATTACAACTGAAAGTAACTTCAAGACCTGGGCTGCAAAAGAAAAACACTGGAAAAAACAGTGTACAACATGGACAGAACTAACTCAATGCCACGGGTCTTGGGGAAAAAAAAAATCTTCTTTTCCACCCATCCTCTGCTTTTTTTAGTTAGTTAAAAATACCTCTGGTACAGCTAAACACCTTGAAATAGTGGAAGCTCCAAGAAGCTCAGAACACACTGATATTAAATCTTCAGGCAAACTGTCCTTTTGTTACTGCAATCATACAGCAAATATGACAGGTCTATTTCTGCAACTGCATTACTCAGAATTAAAAAATGAGTACAGAAATTTCCAGCTGGTTTTACACTTTGTTTTGTAGGGATTTTTATCAGCTTTTTAAAAAAAATGTATTGTTTTGTGACCAAGATGCCAAACTTCAGGAAAAGCTTATGTTTCTTTCCAAGGTTTGACTCTCAGCTAGGCTTCTAGCTGAAACAAGACAAATAGCAGGTCATAAACTCGGCATTTTTCACATGAATTCAGTATGAAAGAAGAAGCCAGCAGCAAGGAAGGTGTGGAAGGATGGAAGGACGACATAAGTAAAAAAATCAGACTAAGTCTTGGAAAGTGACACATTTTATGTTTAGTTAGCCTTTATTAAACAGTATTCACTGACTCAATGCAGCATTTTCTAAAGGTTGGCCTAGTAAATGTCAAATCAGAGAGTAGTGCTCCAGAAACTTATTTCCTTCTCTCTCCAGTAAAAAATAAAAAAGTTAAAAACTAAACACAACCCCGAATGTCAGTCTAGCTACAGGAACAGGTGGAAAACTGAAGAAAGGACACTGAAAACAAAAGCTCTGAAAATGTCATTCCTTTTTTGGCACCTTCTCTAGACAGGAATATACATGAAAGCACGAACTGACAAACAGCAGAAAAATTCCTTACTTAACATTGCACAGGGCTAAAGGCAGTCATCAGAAAGTCAATCCACTCCCTGTTTAGAAAACACATATCTTGCATCCTTTCCAAGGCAATTCATGTATTTGAAAAATGACTGAGTCCTGTTTTTTACTAAGCAGCAATTGTTTGCTATATACTTTATTCACTGCTTCCATGTAATTAAAATAATGAAGCATGCTATAATTTACCCTCAGTCTTCTTGTAGGCTAGAATCCAGGAGCTGGGAATAAAAACATCTTGGTTTTTTTTTTCAAAGTACAGAAGTTTAAGATGCTAACTTCAACACAAAAAAAGAAAGCCAAATGTAAGGAAGGATACATTTTCATATTATATTCTAAATAGGAAAAAATTAATGAGAAAAGACGATGAAAGGCTGAATATGGATGAGTAGGTGATCTTGAAGTTTCTTGACATATGACACTTGCTTATCACACTCTGTAGTGACAGGTGTTTTCATAAATAAACTCAAAACACACACTGATATATTGAGTTAGTGCTCCGACTTTTGCAAATGCATTTATTCACAGACCTACAGTGCTTAAA